GGAGGCCTTCAACGAGATGGATTGATACAGTGGCTGCGATGATGGGCTCGAGTATAGCAGGGATTGTGGGGCTGGCGCGGGATCGGGCAGTGTTTCATTCTGCTGTGCATGGGGTCGCTATGAGTGGGAAACAACTCGACGGCACTTAACAACAACAACAACAATATTTATGAAATACTGCACAAGTCTATGAAATAGTGATAGAGCAGAATTACTATACACAACTCACTTTACATTACACCCTAACTGAGAATACCTACAAAAGGGAATTAATGAATAGCTTAATCTGCTCAAAGGAGATCTGGTGGTGCAATGGTTAAGGCATTTGGCTGCTAAGCAAAAGATCTGTGATTTGAACCCACCAGCCGCTCCTTGGGAGGAAGTTGAGGCAGTCTGCTTTTGCAAAGATTTACAGCCTTGGAAACCATATGGGGCAGTTCTATTCTGTCCTATAGTGTTGTCATGAGTCAGAATTGACTTGACAGCAGTAGGTTTTAGTTTGAGTTTAATGTACTCAGGTCATTGTTCCAAAGAAGCAAAGAAAATATTTTAAGCCCTTCTGAAAATTTTCCAGAACAATTTTCCACATCTAGAGTGTACAAGAAATGAACTGTAATTCATTTAGGTGCCTTGAGGTAAAGTAGCCACCCACTGGATTATTGGGTAGAAAAAAATGTTTCAGGTGAGATTAAAAATGTCTTTAAGTATAAAGAAGTCAAAGTGGAAGATTTAAATCTTTAAAAGGAAGAAATTCCAAGAATATCATAAATCAGTAATAACAGCATTCAATTCTTTAAAAAGCATATGAATTTTTGGGTTTAGTATCAAATTTTATGCACCTGTTATTGTCATGAAAGCCACTAGAATTATCCCAGCAGATGTCAACCCAATGTAAGAATTTATTTTTCATATTCAGACCATTCAAAATTATACAAATCTCAATCATATAGTTGGAAATCTTGTAATTTGGTGTATAGGGATGACCTTGTCTCATGTTGCTGAATTTTCTGGTATTACATCTACTCTGGAAGTGGCAGAAGTTGTCAATTTATTTATTTGTGAAAAAGCAAAAAGTAGCTCAAGCCAACCTTTCTAAATTAGAAAAGTGTTCTGTAAAAGCCCAATGTAGGAAAATAGATATCGTATAATTTTAATGTTGAAGTAAGAATGTTGAGATTTTGATATGTATTATGGAATAAGGGTTATTGCCACCATAGGGAACTGTAATTAGTAAATGCACATACTATGCCTGGATGTCTCACTGTAATTCTCACTATCCTCTGAGCCCTAGACTTTGCTTTTCCAAATGATGTGGTCTTTCTAGAAAGACCATTAACTTCATTTCCTTAAATAAGCCAAGAACTCACCAAATTGTGATCAAAAGTTAACTAAGGTCTATGAGGTTTCAATAAGCCTTTAGTTATAAAACCAAACCAAACCAAACCAAACCAAACCAAACTCACTGCCATAGAGTCAATTCTGACTCATAGGGACCCCTGTTAGATTTCCAAGGCAGTAAATCTTTATGGAAGCAGACTGCTTCATTTTCCTTCCGTGGTTAGTTATAAAAGCAAATATTAATTTGTTCATTCAATGCTTTCCTCTTAGATTGCATTTTGTTCCTTGGAATGAAACATATGACTTGTGAAATTCAAACATTCTTCTACTTACAAGTACAATTCATTTATTAACAGCCTATAATTAAGAAGAAATTGTTAGCTAAACAAACAATTAGCTTATTTGTCTGAAGAATAAATAGGGGGTAGAATATTCATTCATTTGGTAAGTGTTCTTTGCCTTGACCTACTTTTCACCTATTCAGCTTGCTTTCTGGATTTTCTGTACACATACATAAACACATGAACATGAAAAAAGGGAGACATTTCTACTCTGCTTACCTTCAGGTTCTCTAATTTTTCTTCCTGCTGCAGACTTCCGAAGCACACTCCTTCCAGAGTTAAAAAGGCTAGTTAACTCATCAAGAGGGCTAGTGAGAGGTCTTGAGTTTGGAGGGCTGTAGGGAACTGGTGAGGAGCAATTGGAGTTGGACTTCCTATGGTCAGCTCTAGCTGCCTTCACTGGGGAATAAGGAAGCTTGGAGAAAGAGCTGCACACACCAGTCACTGGAGCAGAGTTTGGCTTTTGATGTACTTTGGGCAAATCAGAACTTGCCATTGCTTTTCCTGTATTAACCAAATATGTCTCTGGTGGGAAAGTAAAATGTGTGGAGGGCCGATAAGAAGCAGAAGGAGGCACTGGAGGAGGCAAAGGAGGAGGAGGTGGTGTTGAAGGAGGAGAAATTTTGTTTGACCCATTAAATATAGTTAAGCCAGGGGAGGCAGGTCTGTCACTCTCCCCTTTTTGATTTTTGGAATACTGTGGAGACAAAGGACTTGAACCTTCTGACTGGACAGGGTATTTTAGGTTGGTTTCTAGGACAGGCAGTTTTTTCACTTCCAATGGAGTTAAAGGTGATTCATCAGAAGCAGGAGAGCATGTCACTGGAGTTGGGGGAAACACCAGAAGTGGAGGACGATGAGGCAGCAGATTAGGGAAAGGGGCTGGAATGTCACAAGTATCTTTAAAGGTCCCAGTCGCTTGGCAGCTGATATCACCATCCTCAAAGGTGACAGGTTTTCGACTCTCAAAAAACAGAGGGGGTGATGCAGCCATGAAGGAAACCATGCCCAGGCTGTTGCTGCTCTCCTCCGGCAAAAAGTATTTCATCTCTTCATATACCGACTCCCCTTGGTCTGGGCTGTCTGCTTCGGTGCAACCAGCCTTTATGGCATTCCCTACCATCTCAATATACACTGGTTCTGTTTCATCGTCCTCCTCCTGTGACATGGTCAGATTGAGAGTGCACTGGTGTGGCCCATCGGCTGAAGTGGCCCTGTGCATGGCTGTGGGTTCCTGATGGGGGATGGCTTTACATGCTGTCTGTGCCAGCTTTGCTTCTCCTGGTTTGGGGGCTGATATCTCTTCATATGAGCCACTAAGCTTCGTGTTGGGGCTTCGTTTTGGCTTTCGAGGAGGGATCTTTTTCATTGTGCTGTAGTCATCACTGTGTGGCCTGGGCCGTGTCAAAACTGAAGAAGGGGAAACAAAGAGGTGATAGAGAGTGTTAGTAAGATTCCACAATTAAACTACTCCTTGCTTGGAGTTTACCTTTTCCCACAGTTGCTTTAGTTACAACTATCGTGTGTTTGGAACTATGGAGGGCTCTGACTTGCATTTCAGTCTATCCTCTGGGGCCCCCTGCTAAGATTAAATGTCTGAGGAGTAGTTAAAAGAAAAATGATTTTAGATCTCAGAACTAGAGGGCAACTTCCATCTGTTATGAAAGATGTAGAGGGGAAAGTAAAAGTTTTCCAAGCATAGTAGTCACCTATCAGTCACCTAAAAAGCAAAAGTTCTCTGGTTGGTGCAAAAGGTTTGTGCTTGATAACAAATGGAAAGGTAGGTGATTCAAACCCACCCAGTGGTACCACAGAAGAAAACCTGGCAATCTGCCTCAGTTCTACTCTGTAAAGCACAAGATTGCAATGAGCTGGCATCTACTGGATAGCCAAATATCTCCTGATTTAGTACCGATAAGATCACTCAGAGATCATCTGCTGTTAGTTGCCATCCAGCTGATTCTGATTCATGGGATAAATCTAGTCGAACCTACTCATATTTGTATTCCTAGAACTTATAACAAGTTTGCAATAAATATTGGCTGAACTGATCCTAATAATTTTAAGGATGAGATAACTGAAAATGAGGGAAAGCAAACTAATGAGCTAGTTAGTGGCATATCTCTGGGAAATAAGCAAACTTGAATATTTAAGTTGTCTGAAATGAACGAAACAAAGCAACAACAAAATACCTGTATGGATGGAGATGTTTTAAAACAAGAAGTTTGTTAAAATGTTGTCAAGGGTGAGTTATATAATAATCAGTATATTTGTAATCATAACAGAAATATATTTAACAGAGAAATAAGGGAAAAACGTTTAAGTAAAATATTTTATTTGGAAAATTTTTAAGGTGATAAAAAGAAAGAAAATTTAGAAAAATCAGTAAGCATGATATTATGAGTAGGAGCTAATTTTAAAAGAGGCAGAAATACCCCTTAAATATGTGAGTTTAAAATTTTTGTTAAAGGCTAAGAGAAAAAAAGAAATTCCAAAAGACATTTTCTTAAAGTTTTTTTTATCCAACTGTACTTTTACTATAAATTTTAATAATATGCTTCATAAATAAACATAATTTCTTCAGAAACTGGGAAATTATCTTAGAAAAATTATATAAAATTTTACTGAAATGTAATATCTTAATGAAATCTTACATTATTTTAATGATATGGTAACCTGAAATGTGGAGTTCTTGATATCAGAATATTTGATTTCGTTGAGCTAGGTTACTTCACTAGTTGATAATATTTTGCTTGTTAGTTGCCAGTGAGTCTAATTCAACTCATGGTACCCGATGTGTGCAGAGTAGAAGTGCTCCATAGGATTTTCAAAGCTGTGACCTTTAGGGAGCAGGCCTGTCCTCTAAGATGTCTCTAGATGGATTTGAATGGCCAAACTTTTTTGGCTAGTTGTCAAACACTAAATTGTTTGTATCACACAAGGACTCCTTATTTAACTAGGGCAGTGATTTTTTTTTTTTCCTTTCTCTCACTATGACTGCATATGACAGCACTTCCTCTTCCCAATTTTGAGGACTCAAGAAAGTAAAATGGTTACAATTAATGGCTGTAGAGGTAGAAGTGAGTTCAAGTCTCAGCACCACCACTTATTCATCAATCATTCATGCAGTCATGTATTTAACCAGTATCTATCGATATACATCAGTGAATAAAAGATAAATAATTCCTAGCCTTCTACCACCCTAGTGTGAAAAGGCAGATAATAAAAAAGTGAGTTAAACAAAAGAGTGAATTCTATCATATATTAGAAAGTGACATATGTTTTGAAAATGAGAAACAGCAGCCCATGATAACAGGTTATAGAATAGTGTGTGTGTGTGTGTGTGTGTGTGTGTGTTTGTGTTGGGGGAGAGTGTGTGGAATTGCAATTTTAAGTAAGTTCTGAAGAAAATCTCTTTTAACTTCAGTGTAATCATGCATAAAGTAGTGAGATTAGTAAGGATTTGAAGACTGAAATAGATATTGTGTATAAAATTCTTAGCTCAGTTCCCAGTACACTGTAAACATGAAATAAATGGTAAACACCCAAATATGAACGTAAAAGAATGAAGTTAATTTTCCAGCTCAATAGACATCTTTGTAGGCCAGTATTAAACAAGTTTGTCAAAAGTAGCCAATTTTTAAGAGCAGAAAAGTCCAAAAAATCTATAATTCTGTAATAAATAAGCATTATTCAGAAGGCTTTCAGTGTATTTAAACATAGCAGTTCCTAAGCTGCTCCTAGAAAGTCAATGAACCAAGGAAATTTTTTCACATCAGTATTTTAGAGTTGTTATGAAGATTTGAATAATTTGAAGGATTTGTGGCAGATTGTATTTTCCAAAAATGACTTCAAAAATATTTTTAGTTCCAAAAAAACCTAATTCATAACCTCTTCCCTTGAACCTAGATAGGCTTTTGTCACTGATCCAATTAGATTAGGAAGTAGAATTCAAAGGGTGAAACCAGGATTCCAGAACACAGGGATAAGCCTTGGACAATTATGTCCAGGTATTAGGACAAACCCTTAATCAAGGAACTGGCAACATGTGTCCAACTGTTTCCCAAAATTGTTATGTCCCAGTGACTACCATGTATCACTTAATTTCCCCCATCTTGGATTGCAGTATGCATGAAAGTTATCCTACATCTGGTCTTTAATTGAATATTACTTGTGTGGGAATTAGGTAACATGTATTTTTAGACATACTTGAGGAGATGTCATCTAAGGAGGGCCAATGAATAGCACAAACAGTTAAGTGTGTGGCTGGTACCAAAAGGTTGATGATCTGATCCACCCAGAGGCAACTTGGAAGGAAGGTCTGGCAATCTACTTAAGAAAAATCTACTACTGAAAATCTTATGGAATACAGTTCTACTCTTACCCTTATTGGGTTGCTATTAGTCAGTTGACTCCATGACAGCTGGTAGAGTGAATACTTTAAGGAACCTGATGTGAGGAATCTATATACCTGGCCGTTATTTGTATGATGAGATCTAAGATCTCAAGTTTGAGCCTGAAGTGATAATGGAATGAGTTTTTGAGTGTCTTTGCGGTGAGGGTGTTTTGTATGTGCAAGGCATGTGAATCATTTTGTAAATAGGTAGATTGTGGCAGATGTTATTTTCCAAAACTGGCTACAAGAATATTCCCAGTCCCAACAAGAGGTGAAATCTGTTTCTTCTTTCCTAAAAATTGGTTGGCTTTTGTGACTGCCTTGATGAACAACATGTGGCTGAAGTGATGCTGTGTGGCTTCCAAGGCTAGGTCATAAAATATGCCTCAGTCTCTATCACTTGCTTTTTTCTCTACTAGAGCATGCATCTTTGAAGCCTTCACCCTTCAAGTAAGAATTCTAGCTACTGTGAGCTGCCATTCTCTACAAATGAGGAAGAAAGGCCACAAATAGGTAAAGATGCCCAGAATCCCAGTTCTCAGATGTCTAAGGTATTAGCTATGTATGTGACCACCTTTCCAATGATTCCAACTTCAGCCATCATCTAGTTGCAGCTTCATGAAAACCCTTGAGCACAGACCATCTACCTAAGCCCTATTAATTGAAATGATTGTTATTTGGTTTAAGCCATTACATTTTAGAGAGGTTTATTAAGCAACAGATAACTGATGCAATATTACTTCCAGGTTTGCTGTCAGTATAGGTAGGTAAAGGCCTTTTTGTATTAACACACTATGAATGAAAGTAGGATGGCTTGTTAAAAGGAGAGCTGGTCTCTAGAGTCTCACTGCTCAGTGCATAGCATGGCTATGTGACTTGTAGAAGCTACCTTACTTCTCTGTGACTCAATGTATTCATGAATACAGTGATCACAATGAAGTGTGACTTCGTTAGGTTGTACTATGGATTGAAAGATACTTAGCATAAGGGTAGATACTTCATAAAAACTCAGTAAGTCTCAGCTGCTATCATCATTATTATTACTACACAACGAGAAGTGAATCATGGGTGATATGGTAGTGTTTTTCAAAGTGTAGTTGGGGTTCAGTAATATCAGATCACCTGGGGTACTTTATTATTAATGCAGAAAACACATTTATAACTACTAAATTGGAATCTTTTGCAGTGGGAACCGGAAATCTTTATTCTTCATAAACTAAAGTCAGAAAGTTACAGATAATTAAAATATAACTTTTTATGATCTCTGTGTTAAAAGTTAAAAAAATCAATATGGATTTAAGTTGAAAAGTTTTTAAAATGAATTTATATTAGGATTTTTCATATTCTTTTCTTAGTTCTAAGATTTATGGGTAAAACTATGCAACTACTTGATAATATCAATGAAATGGAGTCGGGAAGACATTCTATGATCAAAGGACACCTTGACATCAAGTTCTAATGTCAGAAGAGCAATATCACGGTTAGAACCTTAAATTCTCAGGCCTTATCATAATTTCACAAACTTGACTTCTATGTGAGTTAAACTTGTGTCACTTTTAAGTTCTGTTAGGAGATAAAAATTTTATTTTCTTACACAAGACTAAACTTTCCTCTAGAATTTTTTGCTAAATCATCAGATTAATTTCAAGTCTGTCCGTTATAATCTGTCTGCATTAGTACACCTGTTATTCCCACTGAGGACAGAACAAGACACCTATATATTTAATCTATTTAAAAAAAAAAAAAAAAAAAGGATGTGAAGCATTTGTATCAGGAAGATAAGATTTTGCCTACTTTCAGAGCAAATCTAGTACCTAGCACAGGACCTAGAGTTTTAAGAGATCTTAAATAAATGCTGGCTAGCTGGTTGGCCAGCCAATTGCATGAATAATTGATTTTGGATTTAAAACCAGTATAATTTGGGCAAAAATGGCCTCTAGTGAGCTGTATTGTATCAGACAGTCCTTAATAATCATTTTTTGTCTTGTTGGGAGGAGCTGTCCAGTCAATATTA